ACTTAAGGGGGACTACAACCCTTAACCGACATGCCCAGGGCGCTATAGGTAACCCCATCCTGAGAAGCCCCGAAATTCCAAAAAGAGACCCAGACCTGTGCCCTGTTGAACGATTCGGTCGAAGATACATAGTAGTTTCCATTTTCTTTTCCATTATCCTTATATAACCCCTATATAACCCCAATACAACCCTAATATTACCCCATATAGCCCTATGGGAACTGCACGGGTTTCCATACTAGCCTGGAGCGAACCNNCTAAACCCTAAACCCCTAAATCCAACTTCCGACCAGCCTTGGGCGGCGACCTTGGCCTTTTCAAAGTTGAGCTCCTGCTCGGAAGGGGCGTGGGAGTCATTTGGGTTATAGTCCCCCTTAAGNNTAATAAGATCCCAATGTATCCCATATTCTATCTACTTAAGGGGGACTATATTCTCAAAATCAAAATTATGAGGGTTATATAGGATTGTGTAGGGTTTTTATGGGGGCTTATATAGGGCTGTAGAGTCAAGGGATTATGTGGGTTGTTGTCAAAATTATGGAGCGCTTTCGGGTGTAAAATGAAATAAGGCACCTAAAATTTAGGGGTACCAAAATGGGACGCGGATTATGGGAAACTTTCCAGTGAAGGCTTCCAATAAATGGGGTGCCCCTGGATAGGGTTTAAGGTGCAGGGTGGCTTCATTAGGGTTCGGGGTTTTGGCCCCTGGTTAGGGGATAGTGGTGAAGCAAACGGACAACAAACAGGAAAATGAAATGGAAACTGGGATGTGAGAGGATTTTGAGGGATTTCCATACCTACAGAAGGGGGCACCAATCCTGGGCAGGGAATCTTCGCACCTAGCCAGTATACTAGTAGTATACAGTCAATTCATGGGAGATCTGTAGAATTTTCCAGAAGCATAGTCCCACACTACACATTGTTCCGTCCTTGGAAGCTGAGCATTACAGGTAACTGGTATGCTACCTTACCTGCTTCCTACTAGAAGCTCCTCCGAAAGAAGCGGAAATTCAGACACATCAGTACGCTCATGACAGTGCGTTGAAAGGGTGGTGTGAAAAACTATGCTACAAGTCCAGCTACAAGTAGCTAATAACTAGGCATGGCATATCCTGGAACCCACTTGTAACAGTCCTGCTGCAGCGCCGCAGTTCTCTCCTCTAAGGCAGCCATAGCTTCTCCTCGACTGACGCCTGAGAGTGATGAACACTACGCTGCGTATAATATCCGTATATATATATATGTATATATGAGTGGTTGCCAAAATTATGGTCCCTTTTGGGGTACCCTAAATATTAGGTGCCGTATTATAATAGGGTACCCAAAAAGGGATCATAATTTTGACAACCACCCATACATAACGAAACACTTGTGATATCTGTAATGGCCGTTATAACAGACTAAAGGAGATTACCTGGTTATAATAGATGTGATTTTCCAATCCATGTTGACATCTTCAGCTTCCGTGTCATGTAAGTGCTCTAGTTTAACCTAAACACTACAAAATCGCGAAACTCCCCCCTAACCCCGTGAACCCACTAGACAGTATAGTGATGCACACACGCGCGGTCGCTAGTCCACTGATGCAGCTCCTCTGGTCCCACTGCCAGCTAAAGCCTTCTGACTGTTGCTCCGGGATGAGGACCCTCGTTCGGGCGGCTAGCAAGCAATCAGCCTTTCTACCACAAAGTCTAGCCGCCTGACACCCTGATGCTCAAGCCCCCACTACCCTGAGCTCAACCAGCGCAGCCACACCATGCTTCTGAAAGCGGAATTGTTGATGGACAAATTCCTGAATAACCGTAAGTAGCCCATGGTACCATAACACCTGGGGAGAAATGGGCCCCCTCTATAGACCCCAATACATTGTCATCCTTCTCGTACGTGCCCCGAGAATAGGGCCCCCAAGTGCCGGAAACCCTACCACCGAATCGGCAAACCAACTTCAACCCTCGAGCCACTACTAAGGCCAGCACTTTCATCGTGGAGCATGGATCTGAAACTGCGCTCCAAGCCTCGGCATTTAGGGTTTAGGGTTAAGGGTTTGGCACTGAAATAAGGAAGTTTAGTACTTCATAATCACAAGTCTCATGCAAACCACTGTTTGAGCTGAGGCGCGTTATACAGAGCAAGCACTGCCTGCAATATGTGCAAGTAAGGCCCCTTGTAAAGGGGGGCCCTACTTAAGGTGCCACCAAAAAGGAATCATGATTTTAACCACACCCAAGTGTCAGACATGCAAAGGGCTACTCACTTCGGTTGGAACTCTCGCCTGTAGATCCACACGCTGCTTACTGGGGATTAGTATTGAACCAGGGAATGTGTTATATCGGGATTATATTGGGATTATATTCCCTTATTCCCAAACAACCCCCAGTAAGTCTGCGCAGGCTGCGGCTCAACAACTTTCTGGCAGGTATCCAAGGTCATGGCGCATCTCCAGATCGCCAGCAAGCTGATTGTTCCGATCGACGGTCTCAGCAGGGCGCGGGGTGCCCACTACGCAGCAAGATGACACCAAAACCTACGAATACTAATAACTGTCAACAGTAAGAACAGCAAAATGACACCAAAGTCACCAGCCAACAGTGTACCACAACTACACGGGTGTTGTGGGGGGGGGGCTCTCCAGTAAGACTGAAAGAAATGTGGAGAATCAAATAGACAGGAACGAGGAAAAGGAAATGGAAACAGGGATTCCATGATGTAGGAGTTGGCATGAGGGTTGTATTTTAAGTGCCTCAATAAGTAGAGTAGGGTTTTAGGGCATATTACAGGAACCATCAACTTAAAGCCAGAAGCCCAAAATGACAGCACAATTACAAGACCGCATAACCCGACATGCGCCAGCTTTTGCATAGCATTAGTAGATGACAGAAGACAAAAGAAGAGAGACCAGAAGAAGCGAGGAGAAATGAAAGATAAGGAAGAAAGAAAGGAAAGAAAGAACTGAGAAAGGAAAGGAATAAGAAAAACATTGCAACGAAGTATGCGGCATGACGCAAAAGAAACAGCCGTAGCGGCAGAAGCGAGTCGCGGGGCGTCGAAATTGTGCAGCTATTTCTGACCGCAAAAGGAGCCCCCGTCCCGGTCAAACATTGCCTGATGAGACTATTACTCGATATCTGCGAGCTTCCACCATGAAGATATGCAGATCAAAAATAATCTTGCAAAACGTCAAGCTCCAAACCCAATTCCCTCGACCCGCTCAGAATGACACCCCCATCGAAGCGTCGAAGGCCTCCAAGCGAGTCTTGGTTTCGCCATCGAGGCGGCCAAGGATGTGGTTGCAGCTGTCTTCCTTGGAGAGTTAAGGGTTGGGATCATGAACGTGGGCGTCCATCCAGCAAGGGTTGTTGCTCCTCCTGGGAAATGTGTTGCGACTTCCAATTTCCATCGTTCATACAGGCTCCGGTGAGGCTTACAGGTTTGGGTCCTGGTCTAGCTTCTGCTGTGGGGTGGGGCCGGCCCTTGCAGCCACGTGTCATGGAGCAGACAAGTTTGCGCAAGTCTGGTGCCCCGCATTCCAAGATTTGCTTGGGGAAGGTCCTGTTTTGAAAGGTGTTGCGGTCAGGAGCTCCAGAAATTCGGCCCCCGAGTCCAGATGACTGTAGAGAGCACTGCAAAGTACCCCTAGCAACTCCAAAGCCCCTCGTCGTGGCGTATGTGCAAAATTCTGGGCCTTCTCGTGGTATCAAATCAAAAGTGGTCCGTACTCCGTGGGGCTAGAAACATGGGACCCTCATGTAGACCTTCTAACCACGGGGCTACGTACAATGGTCGCCTCCCGAAGTACATGGGCTCGACGAATTAAGGCCTGCCCAGGGATTGCTGGGACTACAAGGGCTTGTAAAAACCCATTAGGGCCTAGGAGGCCTTATTAGCTTGGGGGACTGCATGTTGGGGGAGCCTATTCGTGCTTTGAACCCTAAACCTCAAACCCTAAACCCTAAAACAGGTGCCTATGAATTGAGGCAGCCACCCTGGAATTGGTCTCATTGTGCAGCTGCTGTCGGATCTCCAGCATCCCCTGACGCATCCTCAGCATCACTCAAGCCATGTATGCCTCAACGGGCACACCTTGAAGCCCTACTTCCAGATAACAATATATATATATACACATGTATATATATAATAATACATGACTTTGAATATCTATCCCCAGGAGTACGGAGATGCGCGGGTCATGTTGCGTGACTAAAACTTCAATAATATGACCTGAATAGAGGACTTTGGGCTTATAGATACTTAGTTACACGTACCACTATACATGGGCTACAAACCCTAAACCCTAAACCCTAAACCCAGTACCCTGATACTTCATGCCTTCACAAGCAAGTAAGATGCGCGCGACATGATCTCTTGGTCCATGCGCTCCGTCAAAGCAGCTACCTCGCAAGCAGGAGGAAGCAGCACGCAGGCAGAAAGCCTCAGATCTGTAAAGCTCTACCTGGTTTAGGGTTAGGGTTTAAGGGTTTAGGGTTTAGGGAGTCTTATGATAAGTTCAGAACCTGAAAAGACTAAGGTTGGAACCATGGGCCTCTAGTTTGGGGTCTTAATCCTGGGGTCCTCATATACCTATTCTATACTCCATAAAACCTTTTGAGCCCAATTAAGGGCCCATACTTCCGACCCAGGAAACAAGCAAGAGCCCATGTTAAGAGCCCATGGTTAGGACGTTACCTTGCAAATTAAGCCAATTCGGGATGGCTTTCTACCTATACGTCACGCTAAGCCACCATTGCGGTTGGGTCGGTTGAGGTTGCTATAATTTGCCCAGGCTATACTTGTCCCTGACCTGCCTGAAAATCCCCGAAACTGTCGTAACTACAACATGTGACCATGGCCCTGACCTCTAAAGGAAGACCTGCAACCAGGGCTGTGCCCCACCCCCAGTAGTAGTGACTACAAGAGATAACGGCTGTTATGCGAAGGCCCCTATGCATTTCTAATATGCCACTATTGCTCAAACTCACCCCTCTGGGGGCCACACGGCAGAATCCAGCTGATGCACATGCCTTCCCGGAACATTCCCCACAGATGGCACTCTGGGCTTTTGGGGGATCTTGGAACCAAAAAGCTTGGTCAAAAAGAAGGCTGCGCAGTAGAGCCTTCGGCCAACTTTAAGCCTGAACTCTAGCGAGCTGCATAGCTGATATGAGCTATACCTTAGGAGGACCCCTCATCCTGTAATAGTGGCATAATAGGAATATAAGAGAACCCTAATATAATCCTTATTATCCCCTATAGTCACTATTACAGGGTGGGGGGGTCCACCTAAGCTATACCCTTTCCACCTTTCACAACCCCTCGGGTGTCAGCAATCAGGCTGCAGCATTCAGGATCAGAGTTGAGGCATTGGTGGGACCCAGAGCTCCATCCCTTCCTGCTCATAGGGTTTATAGGGGATTATATAGGGTTTAGGGTTTAGGGGTGAAATATAGGGTTATATAGGGATAATGGGAAAGAAAATGGAAACTTCTGTGGTACCATAACCTGTGCCAGCAATCGCTGCACACCCTCAGCAACAGCAGCTAAACCTCAAATATGCTGCCCATGTATTCCTACGAGTATCTATTCGGTATATACCCCCATATATTGCCTGATACAAAGCTATCTACTTGCTACAGACCCTAACAACTGCTGATATCCCCTATATACTCCTAGTAGACCCCTATATACTCACTATGTTCCGAGAAAAAAGAAAAGAAAACTCCTACATCTCCTATATGCTCCCTACATGGCAGGGCAGTTTTCAGAAATAGGGGACCCCAAAAAAAGACCCCGATACATTATACTGCTAATCATGGAGCTACCCCAAGAAAGACCCTAATTTCTGGAGATCCTAAACCCTATAAACCCCAATCTAAACCCTAGTTTCCATTTGATTTTTCCATTTTCTTGTCCACGTGATTCTTCATTACTTGGGGAAGTGGCCCTAAACCCTAAACTGTAATTTCCATGTTCGTTTCCATTACCCCTATATAAGCCCGGCATAATCCCTAAGTTTGGGAAAACCCCGTACAACCCTACACCCAGAATCCAATGCATGACCTGGTCTGGTCATCTTCGATCTCACGGATCTCACGCGTGCCATCGACAAGGCTGCTTCTGAGAGTGTCCTGTCCTCAGGGTGCAGGGTTTAGGGTTCAGGGTCTAGGGGTCAGGGTTTAGGGTTTGGAGTTTAGGGTCTAGGGTTTAGGGTCTAGGGCCTTCAGGTTTCAAGTTTAGGGGATCCATGTGGTTTTATAGCTTATTCTGGAAGGTCTTATGCTGAGGCTGTCAGAAGAAGCCCCAACATTGATAGGGATTGCAAAGTTTGTACGGATCTCCACTAAAAGTTCTGCAAGGACAATTTCTGATGGACTCCTCTCTCAAGATGATATCCGGTTCGGCGGGTGCATGTGAGGGGGTCTCTGAACATCGGTGGTCCATGTGAGCTATAGCCTAAACTCCTGGTATTCCCCTTAATAACCCCTATAGTAGTCCCCGATATAGTCCCCTATAAAGCCCCTTGAAGGAGGTTAGACTGCATAGCTCATATTGGGCATTCCTGATAACAATTCGAAGCGATCCTCCTATTTAGGGGCATAGGGGTGTTTCCAAAAATTAAGGCTCCCAAAAACAGCAGTTTATGTTTATATGGGGGGCCCTTGTTGATGGACACTACCATGTAGTTTGGGCCTTTTTTACAACTAGTTTCAGCAAGTATCCAGCGGACGGCAAGAGGCGCGACTGCCCGAAAGGATCCTGCCTGTTAACGAGGAACACCACAAGGGGGTTACAAAAACAAGGGCAGCGTTTCGGGAGTCCCTATATTGGGGATTGTTACATGTTGGGATCTATTTTGGCGCCCATTGCTTATGGAAACTCTCTTTTAAAGAACCGCAGTCTTTATGGGGCTGTTCTGGGGGGCTCTATGGGGGCTACCAAGTTATAGCTACCAAAGACTTGGGGTTGCTACGAATTGGGACAGACCAGAATGACTATGTCAGATACCCACTGTCTTTATAGGGGGTTATATAGGGGTTATATAGGGATAATGGAAAAGAAAATGGAAGCTACTATTTAGGGTTTAGGGTTTCCAAAATTGGGGTACCATTTTTAGGGGTCCCATAATAAGGACTATAGTATATTGGGGTCTAAATTGGGGTCCCCTTATTTAGGGAAACTACCATATCCCCACAGCTACACAAGACCATACTCCTGCGACTCCTACAGTACTCCCCTAGTACTACCGCCACGACTGCTCGTCATCACCATACCTCGGAAGAAAGCTTGTTCCGACGAAAAACGCACAACGGCTGAACTTGGCGGCAGACGATTCAGCAGCTCCCTCATCTGAACCTGTCACTCGAGCTCGCAACAAAGAATCCCATACAAAATAATGTTAGGCAGGTATGATGTTTGTTAGATAACGTCGTGAAAAAAGCGTTTCCTGCATGCCTGAGGGAGAAGGGCAGAAAGCCGCAAAGGGGCAGCTGCGTGCATTCAATGCATGGAAATACCTCATCAGACAGCAGAAGCCCTCATGACTCAAGCCCCAAGGATACAGGCAATAGCAGCTGCTGCTGTGGCCATCCCGACAACCCATCATCATTCCAATATCACACAACATCCCTGGAGAGAAATGTGTTCGAAATGCTCTTTGGCAGCAGGCTTTAACTACCCGTGCCAGTCGACATCAAATAATGGCATCAAATCTGACGTGCCACACCCTAAACTTGAATTCTGCTGATGGAAGTAATGGATGAGCTAGCTTTGGTTGCCTGCATCGCGTCTTTCTCGGTCTCCAGATCCTTTGTGACCTGCCCATGGTTTTGCCATGAAATTCTCTGCCTGGGACTTTCTCCAACCCTACTATAGGTGTACACGTCCTCCCCTAGGGATATATGGGAATTACAATAATCAAGATATGCTAAGATGCCGGTAGTATCTGGTAGGGATTCCACAAGAGATACGGAGACACTCCCATTTCAGGAGGTTGGAAAATTGCAGCAAGCGGGGCTGTGGAGGTAGCACTTCAGCTCACACGCTGAATGCTGACAAATCCTGAAACCCGTTGATTCAATTGCCTTCGTGAGGGATCCTAATGTTTTGGGATTCATCTCTGGGGCCCGAGCTCAGGTCCTTCCTCCACTTGCGCTTGAACTCCGAGGGGGTAGGAACGATGGCACTTGCCGTACGTAAAAAAAAAAGATTGAAGTTTGAGTGACAAAGGTGAGCAACCAAAGTGAGCGGAAAAGGCTTACCGTACGATGTCAAACAACTTGATTCTGTACTAAGTCTATACCCGATGTCCTGGTGGCCGTCGAAATGTTCAAAAGCTTGTGCTTCTAATCTCGGCAACCCATTCTCGTCTCGATCCACCAACCCTTCTGACCTATCAAATTATAGTAGTTTCCATTTTCTTTTCCATTGTCCCCTATATAATCTTTATATACCCGATTATATTATTATAGTAGGGAGAAATTTCAACAAATCCCTTATATAACCCACACGCACTGGTGGTTGGCTGAAAGCTTCCAGGAATGAATGCGGCACCGTGCACGGGATGGTAGAGCGAACATCTAAAGGCATTCGAAACCTTGGAGTGTTGCAAACTAGGCGCCGAAACTGGGATTCGCATTCTAGAAGAAACCATTCCAAAAAAAGCCATGAGATAAAAACTGCTTGCGCATCATCAGCATCATCATCGTCATCATCATCATCACCAGGTACACTACAAGCAAGGCCTTGTCAACCAGTGAACTGATTCCTTCCATCTTCTTGGCCTCGAAGATGGTGCTCAGGATTTGTTGTTTAATGGTGAGGGCTCAGGGCTTAGGCGCGGGCTCAGTCAGGATTAAGTTCTTCGTGCTTGGGGTGTTGATCTGGCATTTAGGTCTACGGAGGGTTCCTAACTGGAAAGGTACGGGATTTACGGTTGTACTTGCAAAAATACGAGGTATCATCAACAGCTAGAGCACTTGTAACCATACCATGCTAGCAGTCATGGGCAGAGTCTAAGAAGCAGCAACTAGGTTGAAGACCTGCGTGTTGCGCTCAGCAGTGAAGTTCTCCTGAAGTCCGAGCAGTTTCCGCTTGGCTTGCCACAGGTAGGCAGATATCAAGCACGCGCGCGTTAGTATTCTGGAACTAAAGCATCCTACCTAGCAGTTAGCACTGCACTGATACCCCAGAACTGCAGGCAGCAACGCGAAACGTCCTCAACACGGCCGAGATGTTCTTGCAACACTGCATTCTCCTGAGCATGTCCAAGGCAAGTGAACACTGACCAAAAGTTGGAGCTAAGGTGCCAGAAGCAGTCAAGGTCAGCACACCATGGATCACGAAGTAGAGCGCTACACAAAAAAACACCCTAAACCCTAAACCCTCGCACACTTCCCAGAGGTACGCCATCTTCCTACCAAAATCCTGCTGATTCAGAAGCAACTCATGCTGTCTTCTACGCAAAGTTTCGACATACATGCTTGCCTAAAACCCTGCTTCGACAACGCATGCAAAGTCTCCTGACGCAGAGAAATCCTCTTTGCTCATGCTCAGTAGACCCTTCTTGTATTTCACCTATACCACCTGTGTCCTGCATAAGCCCCTACACTTACTGGTGGTTACTAGGGTATGATGGAATGTCATCCTATATAATCCCCATATCATGAATTCCATTATCCCCTACTCACCCTAAACCCTAAACTCTATACTATATTCCCTTACTCCCTACCAACCCCCGGTCAGGAAAAGGGGCCCATGAGTCCACCCTCCCTTGCCCTGAGCTTGTGTCCTGAAACCGCGATGCCTCGGAGCGTAGTTGAGCAGATTGGACTGGGGGTTCCATGAATTCTCCATAATCGGGATACATAGGAGTAGATCTTCAGGTTTCTGATAGTTGAATAGTTGATAGCCAGCGATGGATCACAAACCCTTATGAGTAATGATGTCTTCAGAAATACAGAAGTGGGTGAAAAATCTTTTAAAATTCCAATAAGCAAAACCACAAAACTGAGGCCACAAGAGCGTTCCACCCTCATTTATAATATAGGCTTTCTATAGGGGTACATGAGGATAAATAACCCCATGATGGAGAGTTTAATTGGGCCTTACACCATGCTTGCGGATGTAAAGCCTGGGCATGCTAATCTGAGGAAACGGTTCCTTATAGGTAGGCATCTGGTCTGGGATTGGTTTCGGGGTCCCATACGAACTTAATTCTCAAGGGCCAGATAAGGCTAGATAGGGAGTATGGTCCAGAAATACCCCTGTGGTTCCCTTTAAGTCTTCTCAAGGTTCAAGGTTGCAAGGCTGAAAATGAAGAATCCATAAAACCTAACCCCTAAACCCTAAAAACTAAAACCTGAACCCTAAAGCCTAAACTCTAAACCCTAAAACCTAAATCCTAAAACCTAAACCCTAAAACCTAAACCTTAAAATCTAAAACCTAAAACCTGAACCCTAAACCCTCAACCCCAAACCCTAAAACCTAAACCCTAAACCCGCTTTCGGACTGAAGGATGACTGACGCATGCGGTGGTCTGGACAAGGGTTATGAATTCCCTTTTAAGGGATTATGGGCCTTACAGGGTAGTTGTGTGAGGGATATATAGGATTTAGGGTTATGGGCCTTATACAGTAGGTGTGTAAGGGATATACAGGATCTAGTGTGAAGGACTTGAGTAAAGCAGAGTTGCTGCGGGAGAGATGACATTCCCAGTTTCTGCGGGTCAGCGACATGGGTACTTGGAGGGTCAGGGGGACTTAGTAAGTATACTTATAACCCCTATAAGCCATATAGTAACCCCAATTATCCCTAATATTAACCTACTTACTAAGTCCCCCTGACCCTCCAAGTATGTGCCAGGCATCAACCACCTGACACGACCAGAAGGCCCAAACCTCCCCGACACTGCTCTTGAATTCGGGATCAAGTACTCGAAATGAGGGTACCCTTGGGGACCCTAGTAAGATGGCGCCCCCTGTAAGGATTGCGCTGGGATTCTTTTGAGAAGCACCCAGGTAGGAGGACGCGTAGACTCTGTCCTTGGAGTCAGGCTCTCTCTTCGCTGATCATCTTCCTGAAGCGGGTCTCTAGCTCTGTGGTGACCGCCTGGCCAAGATTTGCAAAGGCTGAAGAGCTCACATGGAAGCCCCAAAGGCTTCTGGAAAGCCTACCCTAAACCCTAAATCCTAAAATCTGGGGACCCAGTTTCATTTCATGTCTTGGGAGAGGCTAAGATCAGGAACTGGGTCTTGGGGTGCAGAGTTTGGGGCTTGGGCTTTAGGAAACAAGGCCATGGGCCTAGGGTTCGGGGCTAAGGGTTTAGAAATAGCCCTAAACCCTAAACACTAAACCCTAAACCCTATTTGGCTTTAGGGAATGCGGCCTTCTGCGGTACCCGCGGGACCGCTATGCTTAGACCTCTCACGTCACGTCTCCCCCGTAAGAAATGGGGTTTCCGGCCCAAAATTAAGGGTAGACTTTTGGGGGTCCCTATGAGTCCCTATAGTAAGAATATAATATTTTTGGGTCTATATTGGGGTCCCCGGATTTTTGGAAACTACCAAATGAAGTCAGTAGGCTCAGAACAGTTTATCAGCTAAACGGCGGATCAGGGCTTTGGGGTGGACTATATCCAAGTGTTTTTATGAGGGATATGAGGGAAAGGAAGCGGAAGCCACCATATAACAATATAGCTTCCATAAACTGTCCATTGACTCCTCCTCCTGGCTCCCACAGAAACTCCTTTACCTGCGCTTGCCCTGCATGGGCGACCAGTCTTCCTCATGGCTGCTGTTTAGTCTACAGCCCCGACCACACTTCAACAATGTCCTGGCAGTTATCATCGAACTATGACACCTTCAGGGGAGCATACGCATGAAGCGCTGCATCATGCAAACCCCTGGCCCCGGCACGCTGCAAGACATTTTGCTGGGCAGTGCCCTACGAGGATTTGTTCTCGTATGTGACAAGCAGAACAGTGGCCCCGGGGACTTGCTTTCAACAGTGCAGTCTAAGGCCACACGGCAATTCAGAACTGCAAGCATGGTCTCTAGGCTTGCAAGCAGTCCCCGGACGGCGTCTGTGGTTCATAGGCTTTGAACGCTTCACTGCCTCACAATGTCCAACTCTGCATCTTCATAACGATGATCCCTGAAGCATTCCCTCCTAGACTTGTGAGAAGTCTGTCCCGATCTTGCTCATGTGGGCTGCAAGGAAGACTGAGACACGTGCGCACTCATAATTTTGACCATATGCTTTCCCACACGAGCCCATGCGCTCAACCAGCTCATTTATCGGCGGCCCTTCTTCCTCAGTATCATGCAGAGGGAGAATCTGGTTCATGGCAAGCAGTACAGATGCATGAAGATTTAATCTTTGGATTTTGTACTGGGCTACTGCAAACTTGAACCTCCTTGTAACAAAGGCATAGTTGGGATTCCAACACGACGTAGCCCCAGAAACCACCGGAAGTGGACACGGGTTTGGAAGTTCATGTTCTCGGTACAAGTATACAAGAACACGAAGATCCCAACGTGACAGGACAGCTCATACAAATGAATCCTGCCAGGCCCTGGCACACGCAGACATGCTGCATGATGAGGCCGGCACTTGCTTCCTGGCTTGGCGAATGCCCAACTGACGTCCAACTTGTGGTCCTCGCATGGGGTTAGACGTTTGGTAGTTTCCTTAAACAGGGAACCCCAATATGCACCCCTAAATATTATAATCCTTATTATAGGGACCCCCAAAAAGGTACCCCTAATTTTGGGAAATCCACATCTTGAGTTTGGGGTTTCAGTGAAGGGGTGAATTTCAGGCAGGTATCACCCTGTGCTGCAGATCGACAGATGCATTCTAAAAGCAAAAATCTGCCAAAAAAAAAGGTGCTTAGCCTGTAGTGGAACAGGACATTCAGGGGCTGATCTAAATTTTGGTTTCTTAGTAGCCGTGGTGTAAGGTACCGCTGCATCGTGTCAAGCCCCTGCTTCAAAGGAACAACAAAGATGCATCTATCTCCATAGTCCATGACCCAAGAAACTCTTCCAAGATCTATCATCCAGAGAGCTGAAAATCAAACTGGGCTTTGGGGATATCATTCTCTCATCATGGCATGCAATATGTGACAATTCTACACACGTGAAGATCTGTACTCTATCTATGTTAGCCTTCATGTTTTGAGTTTTGATTGGAACTACACCCAGCTTCAGGGTCCATAGAATTGCTACGAGTACTCCTAACCTTGCTGCTCGTCAGGAGAGGGAACATGGAAAAGGAAGTGGAAAATAACAGCTCCTAAGGATGCTTTTAGGGTTTGGGGTTTAGGGTGATTAGGCTAAATGTACACCCACTATTCAAGGCTTTGGGAATAGGATGCTATAGGGATCCATTGGTCCATTTCACCAACAACCAAGAAGTATATTATGGGTATATTATAGGTATATTATAGGTATATTATAGTATACTATAGGGATATTAAAGGTATTATAGTGCAGAAACTGCTGATAGAGCACACCATTTTCCTTAGTGCACCCCTGAAACTTGAATCCTTAACGCTGAACCCACGATCCCTCAATCCGTGAACTTCAAACCTTACAAGCCTTGCTGTAACCCCGGGCTCCCCTGAATAGGGATTATAATAGGGATCCTAATATTTAGGCCCTTAAAAGGAGGGGGTTTATTAATCATGGGTCTACAGTAGCCCACAACTTAACCCGGTCCAGAAGGGTATTGCCATCCATGGCCTTGATGGCTGCATCTGCCTCATGCAAAGTCTAGATCAGATGAGCCATAGTCTAAACTCCTAGTATACCCCTTAATAAGCCCTATAATACTCCCCTATATAATCCCCTGTAAAACCCCCTTTAAGGAGTTTAGACTATGGATCAGATAGGGATGGGAAGGGGTTCTCAAAAAGAGGTCAAGAACCCTTGCGGACCATGGGGATATGTAGGGATTGTAAGGGGATAAGGGGTGGTCCTGACCACAAATCATTTAGGAACTGCGGATAAACTGCTAGTTTGTGAAAAGAGAGGCAATGACAGGGACATTTGACATCACCAAAACGGAACCGAACTTTCTGGGAAAAAATTGAGATAGGTGCCTAGAGTGTATGTAGCGCATGTGCATCTGTATGAGTTTTAGTTGACGGCTTTGTTCAGCGTGGCTCCAATGTAAAGTCCAAAAACTGCTTTGTCAGTGGAACTGTAACCGAGTGCAATGCACTATCTTTGCTCAGCCATATGCAACAAAGATTTGTCCAAAGAAGCCAAGAATCTATAGCAACATGTTTCATACTGGCGATTGACAAATTTGTGGTCCCTTTTGGGGCTCCCTTCATAATACGGCCCCGAGCCTTCAGGTATCCAAAAAAAGAGCAGATGTTATGTTGCCAATATTCCATGCGAATCCTTTAACTATCCCTGCTGGTTCATATAGGGGCTCAATCATTAGAGTAAAGTTTTGAAGTATACCATACTATCAATATAGGAGGGTCAGTAATGGGATCGGGCTTCTTGTTCCAGTATTTAATACTATAGTCTATTCTATAGTAGTTTCCATGTTGTTTTCCATTATCCCCATATAACCCCAATATAAACCCAATATTACCCCTATATTGGACCCCTCTGTTTTTGGTGTTTGCTCCTCCTCTTCGGACCCCCACGGATGCTCCGGTCTATATACACCCCGCATGCAAATTCAGGGGTTTAGGGTTTAGGGTTTAGGGATTTAGGGATTTAGGGAATCTTGCTCAGAGCAGTTATCGGAAGAACTGGATGAAGCTAGTGGGTTCGATACAAAGCTGCTAGGCAAGATAGCTGCAGCAAGTTGGTGCAGTACTCTGGCGGCCTCCTGCTTGTTCTCGTACTCGATGAATGCATACCCCTGGCGCAGGGAGCAAGCTCCCGGCATACTGTCTCTTTGCTTAGCCATGTAGGAAAAGTGAAGTTTACCAAGAAGCAGAGGGGATCACAAGGCTTTGTGAAGATCAACAACCAGGAGGTGGCAACCTTACCTCCATATGGGGGCTTCCCAAAAGTAGGGGATATATAGGGGTTATATAGGGATAATGGAAAACAAAATGGAAGCTACTCTTTAGGGTTAGGGTTTCCCAAAATCAAGTCTAATATACTAGGGTCGATTTTACCCCCCATTTAGGGAGACTACCATATCAGCTTGTTGCACCAGAGCTATGATGAGAAGTGCGCCTGAAATCCTGTTTCATTGATTGTCATTTTCATTGTGCATTGGACAAAATCCTGAGCTGCGAGCCTCTAAAACCCACAACAACTACTAGAATCACTAGAAGTCCTCTAAAAACGGGTTCAAATCATTTCCCAAATCGTGGAACTGCATGTGCTCCGCAGGGACTTGTGCAATTTTTTTGGATGTGATGAGAAACTGCAAAGATTGCCACAAGTAATTTGTGAACCCCGTGGCTTGGGCCCAATACTTGAACAAAATCACAAGAGGCTGCAACTATCCCAATCTGACATCCCCACCGCCGTGGCCAATCAAAGCAAGCCTACACGACAAGCCCACGCCGGGTTGAAAATAACACGCCGCCTTCACGAAGCCCGTGCGACGGTCCAAATTGAGATGCCTTACGCTCGTCTGGGTTGCTGTTAAGGAACTTAAATTAAGTTACCATAATGGGTATCTATAGTAAATAACAGGGTTTCCCCAATGTAGTAACTTAATTTAAGTTCCTTAACAGCAACCCAGTCGTTGGCAGGCTTTCAGCTGCCAGGACAAGCGGCTACAGAAAGAGCAACTAGGGTTTAGGGTTTAGGGTTTATTCCCCGCGTGGGATTCAACAGAAGGTTTACATGCAGAACAAACATGAGGAACCGACCGCTTCGCCTGTCCATGGAGACCATGACAACCATACACCACAAACGTCAATCATAAGTTTTCCACATTAAGCATTCCAATGAACGGTCGGTTTGATCTAGAACCCCATGCCTCGCGTATGGACTACTACTAGAGAGCTAGAGGTGCAAACATCGAAATCTTCTTCCTCAAACGTACCTTGGCAAACCTATAACACAGACCCCTGATTAATAAACCCCCGCCGCTGAATAGGGATAATCATAGGGATCCTTTCTCTTAAGGCCTTAAAAGGAGGGGTATAATAATCATAGGCCTACACTATGGCACAAATCAGAACGAGAAGCGCTGGCTAGGAGGAAGACAAAAACAAGGGGGCCTTGGCACCGTGCAGGTACTGTGTCTGAAAAATGGTTCCGACCATGATCCCCGAAGCAATCAAATCCTTAAGGGCACCTAGACACCGGGGTAGGTATCAACATTAGGGTGCCCTCACATTATGCCCTGAACAATGTCGGGATCCTTCTTACTCACCTTTGAAACAAGGCAAGACACGAAGCAACTGGAGTTGTCAAGAGACCTCGTGAATTATCCAACACAGTGTCCATAAAATATATGAAAGGGACTCCAGCATATTATAGATCTTATGGGTCAAGAGGATTACATGGCTCCTCAGAAAACTTCCCTAGTATAACACCGTTCATTCCTGCAGCCTCCAGTTGTAATTGATTTCAGCATGCATCCTAAACCCTAAACCCCTAAAACCGACATCCCTAAACCCCTAAATCCTATCCCCTCAACCCTAAACCCTAAAACTGGCAGTAGCTTCTGCCAGGCCGCAGATTTTTGATGTCGCCATACTCGGAGAAGGCCTCGAAGATATCGTCCTGCACACAGCAGGTGACTAGACTCATGGTTTCAGCGATAAGGATCCCCAAATCTGGCAAACTTCCAGAATATGGTGGCCAAAATTATCAAAAAAGGGTTTGGGGGATCCTGGGACACTAGTGTCTTTCAGAATTGACACTAGTGTCATGTCAGAATTATGCGGGACAAGTTTCCTAATGTTGAGTTCAGGCTTCTACATTGCTCTCAGAAGTTCCCACTGCTTCTTGGAGTGCCTTGGGTGCTTGCAGGCTAGGGCTGCAAGAAATTGCCACGAACACGTTGTTCCTCACGTATCCAAAACGCAGACGTAATCGAATCCTGCATTTGAATACGGAAAGCTGAACCCTTCTGCCTGGGGCGCCAAAAAAAGGGCTGAAGCCGCAAGGATTATGATTCTCCAAAGTTCTGCTGACAGTTGCTGGAACTGTTCCGTGCGCCTCCTGTGCTTCCTCGTGAACGCCAGACACCTCGCATGTAGCGTCAGAAACACGACTTGAGTATGAGGCTTTTGGGTTTCCGAGCGGTTGGGGATCAACTCTGGGGTGGGGGCGCAGATGAGCAGAATAGCCCTTGGCAACAAGTTTTGGCATGATTGTAAAAGTATATCCCCATCACCGGGCTTTGATTTCGGATGTAGCGGAAGTCCTGCAAGTCTTGCTGTTGGCCAAATGCCGCCGTTTCAACCATGTTTGTACATCTTGCAAAGGGCTTTTCTCTAAAGGCAGTATAAGCAACCCTTGACTTACTGGTGCTTAAGGGAGTGAGGGAGTGGATCCCTATAACAATCCCTATATAATACCCATATACATCCCTAGAATAGTCCCTATATCCACTCCCCCACTCCACTTTAAGCACCAGTAGGTTGATTGAAGATAAGCCGGCAGTAACCAAATTCTAGCTCTCCATAGGCTAGTTGCCTATGCGAGAAATTCGCCGGGGTCAATGCTGAGCCCTATATAGGCTTAGGGATTATACAGGGATTATAATGGGGTTATATTGGGTTTATATACGGATAATGGAAAAGAAAATGGAAACTACTATTTAGGGTTTAGGGTAGGCACTTTTTAAGAAAAGGAACCCTCAAGGACGTGGCTGGCTGCTAGTTGGAAATGGAGTCTCTACAGTAGCCACTACATATCCTAAGAAAACCGTTTCGGTTGTCTTTTTCATTATAAATGCCCTACTGAAAATTCCCTAGGGCTCCCAGTTACCTAAATAATGGTTCTATGTTCTATATACCCTATAGCTACATAGCCCAGTAACCTACTATTTAGGTAACTGGAGCCTAGGGATTAGCGAGTGACTGGGCCCCAGGCGATGACGACCCAGCCTTCGATGGATCGCGCGGCGCCAGTTTCATCCTCAGCAGGGTACGATGCACAGATGTACTATTAGATATGTACATAGTTTTTGTATATACATGTGTATATATACATACATATATATATGTACAGATATATCCATTTAAAAACCAGTACGATACTGGTATACACTGTGAGGAGCAAACAAAGAGTCTATCAGGACTGCGCATGTTGATTGCATCGGGCATACATTGAGTGCTTCTTGATGATGCTGCACTGACTTGTAACGTGGCGACCCTCTGTAATATGCTTCGGCGCTTCAAGAGTTTCAGGCCATGGCTAGATGACCCTCTTTAATTGTTTCGGCTTTAAGGTCCTGGCACAATCCAGACCTCCCCTCGTAACATCAATCCCCGCCTCGAGTTTTGATATTCTAGAGGCCCTATTGTACAAGAGAACCCCCTTGCCAAATTGAGTGCCACATTGCAAGCGACTGATGGTGACATTATCGGTTTGACTCGGGTTGGTGCTGCATAGTTTGCCTGATGTTTTAACCAGGTGCCCTTTTTCACAGTTGTCTACGGCACCGTCATTTGCAGGTTCCAGCCTGAAAAGAAAGAAGCTCCAATCCATATTCTTGCCTTACAAAGACAGATGGTAGACTCTGGACTGAAGACACATGAGTAAAGCCGGAATATGAGACCCGCCCAATAGCCGCTGGGGACCTGAAACCTTCGAACACCATCGCCTGTCGCACACGAGGAATACATAAGACATTTAAGGGCTCGTGCAGCATTCAACATCCGCTGAAAAACAAATCTGCTTCACACGACAAAAAACTAAACGAAGCTCGAATGGAAATGTCTTGAACCTGCAGGTTCCACCAAATTGTTTCTGCCGATTTGTGCAGATCCCCATTGACTCACACTTGCAGCTTTGGCAAGGTGCCATCTGAGGGCGAACCTGATTCAAAGTCAAATGGCAGATTCAGCAGATTCCATTTGCTTTGCCATTCCCCTAAATACCCCCATTACACATCCCCCTACACCCTTTCCTATGTTATCGTCAATTGACCTTTCTGTTTGCTTCTACATTACTAGCTTCTGAAAGACGACCGGAGATTGAGAACATTGCTCACTCTCCCGATAGCCATGTCCGCATCAAGGTATTGGCAAGGGACGCCCGAGATGGGACGTTCAAGGAGGCAGCTGTGCCATCTGGTGAGGTGCCTGCAAGAGCCTCGCGAATCGCCTCGCGGTCGAACCACTTCACATCTTCCAGCTCGTCCTCGTCGAGGTTCAGAGTAGTGTCCGATGCCTCAGCAAGGAAGCCTACCATGAGAGAGCGGGGGAAGAGCCAGGGCTGAGAAGCCACAAAGCGGATAGAGGCGGGATCTACCTCGACACCAGATTCCTCCTGCACCTCTCGGACAACACACTCTTCCAGAGTCTCTCCGAACTCCACGAAGCCGGCAAGGGTCGAGTACCGCCCTTCGGGCCATTGAGCTTTGCGTCCCAGAAGGCAGCGCTGCTTGTGTGTCACCAGGACGATGACGGAGGGATCCAGGCGCGGACGGAAGCGTGCATGGCAAACCTCGCAGCGACGATTCAAACCGTTGCGGAAGGAGGCCGTCCTGCCCCCGCACTTAGCGCAGAACGGCACAGAGCGGTGCCACTCAGACAGCGCCGCAGCAGTTGACAGCAGCGCAGCATAGTCGTCAGCAGCCAAGTCGTCGATGACCGATGGCCCCTTGCGAGATCGCAATTGACTCCATTGACCATCCTTGGCGTTGAGAGCTGTGACATCTGGAGCCTCCTCCGAAGAGGAGAGATCCAGCAGCCAGAACCCCCGTGACTTCATCCGCTCCTGCAGCTCCAGCAGCGGGCCTGAGCCTGCCCGACCCAGCCAAGCAACCTCGAAGCCATTGGTGCCTTCGGCCCCAGGCACCTCGGGAACGGACCCAAGAAGCACAGGCTCTAAACCTCCTCCAGGGGCTGGCTTCACCAACGACAGTCCTTTGTAAACAGGAACCAGACAAGTCGGTCCCTGCTCCGGGGAACTCCTTTCCAGCCGGCCTTCGGTATTGAAAAACACCTTGGCCACAAAGGCATGCTGCTGGGAGGCAAACTGCAGAAAGGCCCAACCAAGCAGAGCTACCAGCGCATGCTGCCGACCAGGCTTCGCATGCATGCGCAGCATCCTCATGCAGCGGGCCCTCCCACCCAGAACGTCCAACAGTCCAGAAATGTGAATCACAAACCCGTTCTCCAAATTCCACCGGTAAACCTGTAGGTGGTGTACCCCACATCCTCAACACATGAAAACCTGCCAATGCAAACCCCTATGTGTGCGTCACACGCCGCGCTTCTGAGGCTTGCAAGCGCCTGCGGAGCCCCTCGTTCATTGCGGTCATCCTTCCTCATCTACCAAAAAGCAACTTACCCGAACTGTAAGTCAGGCTGAAAGGCCTGTAGCTATCGTTGACTAGATCCCTCAAGATCCCCTACTGCACCTGCATTACTACTTACTGGTACTTCAGGGAGAGTGGGGGAGTGGATCCTTCAAATCGTCCCTCTGTAATCCCCATACATACCCCTAAAATAGTATCTATATTTGCTCCCCCAATCCCCATTAAGCACCAGCAGCACTATGCCCCGCAGCTTTCCTCCAAACAGCAGCCCACCCAGAAGCTAACAGTGTCATAATTGAGAGACAGCTACGAACACCGTTACTACAAAATTATTGCTATTAATAGTGTTTCCATGGCTATTACTACAAATATTGCTTCAGATCGAGAACACAAAACCAGAAAGAATATGGGGCGAAAACCAAAGTGGGACCTTGGGCAATTATCAAACTCAAAGTACCTCACTGGGTGACCCAATTTTTAACGGCCGGACAGTACCAGGGATCCAAAATCGGATCCGAATTTTGACAGCCCACCCAGTCTATCACTCTTCACCAACTGCTACAGCCAGGGCCACCACATCGTCGTCATCGAGCCTCTCGAACTTGCCGGCCTCAAACAGGGCGCGTGGCCCTAAAGGCCATGAGGGCAGGTATTCAGGCTGCTACATTAATTAGGAGTCAGGGAATGTAAGGTTTCATCCTACCTTAAACCCACCAAAACTCTCCCAACCCCTCACCTTTTGCAAGCTGACCCCAAAGCTTCACCGAAATCCTAACAGAATCAAGACTGAAACCTATCACACTGCATAAAGCCCCGAAAGCTCCACAAGCCTTCAAAAAGATCCTAATACATAGATCCCATGAGGTGCCAAATGCGAATCTTAAACTCTGGGAGAGCGTTTAGAAGATGCTGCGCCTGGAACCTACATGTAGCAGCCTGAATACGAGAACAAGCACCCCCTCATCATGCACGTAAAACTATCTTCTCAAGTACCCCCTAAAATCCACTCAAAAAAAAAATTGGGCTCGCAACCCTAAGCCTTATTGAAATCCTGCATGCCCCTACATGAAACTGACCGCCCCAAAGATGTTCTTGTGCCTTGCCAGCGTAGCGATCATCTTCCTCACCTCCGCGTCCCTGCAAGGCCGAGCGCTTGATGCTTAATACTAAGACTAAGAGCAATAGTAATACTAATAGTAACAATAATAGTGCTGGAGAACCTGAGGCTAAGCTATCAATAGTAATAGTAGTACTAATAGTAATAAAAATAGAAATAATAATAGTGTTGGAGAACCTGATTCTAAGCTATTAATAGTAATAGTAAGCTTACCGAAGGGGTTAGGAGGGAATACAGGAATGTACTATGTTGGGGTTATATAGGCATTATGTAGGGATGATTTTCACTCCCTACTAACCACCAGGAAGTCAGGTTGTTTTTCTTTGTCACGCCTTTACTTTCCACCAAAACTTCGGGTTTGGGGTTTCGAGCTTACGGTGCAGGAATTTGGGAGTTCCCAAAATTAGGGATACCTCTTGCGGGTCCCGATAATATGGATTAAAGTATTTTGGGGCCTATATTGGGGGGTCCCCTATTTTCGGAAACTACCATTGAAGGTTTCGGGTCTAAGTTCGGGTTTCAGGGTTTGGCATTTAAGGCCATGAAGTGTTCAGGGACACTACATGATGGGCGGGTTTGTACCCTAAACCCTAAGCCCTACCCTATTGCAATGTTGTAGTTTCCATGTTCTTTTCCATTGTCTACTGTGGGGATGGTTCTTCAGGGAAGTGCTGCAGGTGATCAAAACTGTAGAACCGTGTTCACAACTACTGGACAGCAAGCCATCTGAATCCAGACCCCATCCCCGTACGTACACTTGCATGTATACATGTATAAACATACCCTACATATACAGCTAAGGAACCTAAACCCTAAACCCTAAACCCTAAACCTCATGTGTATTTATCTGGTTGTAAGAATTATGATCCTTTTTGGTGCCCCCTGGATTTAGGGAGCCCAAGACCATAATTCTGATTCCCTCATATCCCCCTAAACCCTAAACCGTAAACCCGAAATCCTAAACCCTAAACCCTAAACTCTACACCCTAAACTGTAAACCCTGAACTCTAAACCCTAAACTCTTCACCCTAAACTGTAAACCCTGAACTCTAAACCCTAAACTCTACACCCTAAACTGTAAACCCTGGACTCTAAACCCTAAACTCTAAACCGCCCTACACCCTAAACATCCAAAAGACAAGCCGGGCCTTGACTCGTCGGCCAGCAGGTCGGGCTCCCTCCTTTCATCAACCAAGGGCGGCATGGGGTAGCTTTAGGGTTTAGGGTTTAGGGGAGACATTGCCTTAAACCATAAACCCTAGTCCCTAGCCTAAGCCGTTTAAGCTTCAGCAACCCGGGATGCAAACCCAATGACTAGCTACATGGTAGTTGATCCAAGTTCCTGCTCCCCAAATAGTCACTATGGAGAATGACTTTCCCTGCTTTTTCCCGCGTAGACCTAAAGGAACCCTAAATAATTCCCCCAACCCTCAGATCAACCACCACATGAAATCTCGAACCCCGGCTTTTACAAGAACCCTCTCAAGCCCCTACTTGAGGAATGGTCCTCCAGTCCCTATATTTTCGGATGAATCCCATGTGCCTAAAAACAAAGACCAGTCCTCAGCAACCTCGTCATCATAATCGACATCCATGGCTGGTGTTTTGACGTGTAAGCTGTAGAGGGATCAATCGCTTGAGAGCGCAGCCTGAACTGCTTTTAGAAGACGGCGGCGTACGCAGCACATCCAAGCAAAGCTTCTCTTGATAAGATGACCTCTCTCCGACATAATTGCAGGGTGCCTGAGAAGGGAAGCCACAAGGCAGTGATAGGGCTGACGCCCAGAATCCCATACAATTCCTAGATATCATAGGAATTATGTCCATCACACTTGGATGCTGAATGTCTTCCCTGGTCTGCAAACTTACGTCCTGCTTGGTGGTGAGTTGCAGCCCTGGTAGAACATTTCTGACTACAAGACAACTGCCATTGAAAAGAGCCAGTAAGGTGAGTTCTCTGGGCTGAGAGTCATAAACTCAAAATTGATCCACTCTTTGCTGCTGCCATGGCATGGCTGCTGCTTAGAACCATCGAAGTAAAGGTCAGTAGCGCTGTCCTACAAAAATTGACCGTGCCACACTCATTCAAGCTTCCAACCCAGCATAGCGCCTCACGGATCTTCTGTTCCCTTTGAAAGGTGAGGCTCCTGTTGCGGCTCCTCGGCTGTTGGAACATAGGAGAGGCACCGGAGGTAAGGGGTCCGGACGCAAGAACCTCTGCGAATCGGATTAGGTACAGCTATTCCGGGTAATCTGCGTTTGAGAGAGAATTCCGTTTGGGGCCACTTTGGGTCCACAGCCCCAAGCGCATGTTTCGCATCAAAGCGGGAAAGCAACTTGAGTGGATAAAGGGAGCCTCGGCCCTCTTTCACCTCCCTACCAAAACTCAGGGTTTAGGTAGATAGAACTATAGGGGTTATATAGGGATAATGGAAAAGAAAATGGAAACTACTATTTAGAGTTTAGGGTTTAGGAGTTGTATAGTTGTATACCTCTGGTCTGAATTCGGCTTCCCGCTGCTACTTAGGTCTCTGACTCATGCAGCTTCATCCGTCAAAGCCTCCAACTTTCCGCAGTGAGAATCCAAACCCCAATGCCAACTTCCTGCATCTTACTGGTGCTCAGTAGGGAAACACTAAGGGAATATAATATGGGGGGGTATATGGGGATTGTATATTCCCTTATTCCCTACGGAGAACTAGCAAGGCATCCAGAAAGCTGCTCTTCAGACAAAAGCAAATTGTGTAGACGGATCCCGAGGCAATCTCAAGGCAAAAGCATCCTCTGGTCATAAGTAGGTCATGCTACGTACTACGTACGCTGACCCCCAAAACCAAGTGTCATACTATCTTCCATCCCTTGTTTTCCCCCTATTCCGTAAACCCTCAACCCTTAACCCATCAGCTCGGAAAGCCACTCTTCTGCGACCGCACCCAGAGTTCGCATCCTCAGCAGAGCAATTCGCTTTTGTGCACGATGATGTAAAAGCCTATATGGGTGGTTGTCAAAAGTATGGTCCCTTTTTGGGTACCCTAAATATTTGTTGCCGTATTATAATAGGGATCCAAAAAGGGACCATAATTTTGACAACCACCCATATAACTTTCATCAAGGCTTTGCGATTCCGCTATAGTGATACGAAGGTAGTTGGGGAAATAAACGGTAAGCATTCAGGCATAGGTACTTGTTCGGGCCTTGACATTATAGGGATTCTGTGTATTTTCGAGCTTTAGGAATTCGAGATTTCGGGTTCGGACTGAGGAAATAGGCCTTGGAAGAAATTTTCTTTTATGCAAGATACATAGAATCAAGTCTCAAGAGAAAGAATACAATCATAGCAGGATCCAAGCAAGAGCAAATGCTTTGCCCCAAGTTGGAAGGTGTATCAATTGAAAGTTTTGGGCTCATAGGCTGGATGTGGGCATATGCCAGGACTTCTGTCAAGATTCAACTGACAATAACTTTAGTCTAAACTCCTAGCGTCCTCCTTAGCAACCCCTATAAATACTCCCCTACAGCATCCCCTATATAAGCCCCTTCAGGACTTTCGACTATAGCTCAAATGGTCTCAAACCATCCCTTACCACAGCGCAAAGCCCCCGCCAGTCCTGGCTCCCATCCCTGCGTAGCTTGCGTTTAGATAGGGTTTAGGGTTTAGGGTTTAGGGTTTGAAAGCCTACTGACCTTCGACCAGCCCATCACTTGCGCACAGGAGTGGATCCAGCAAAACGCAAAAGAAAATGGGAACTGTGATTTACAACCCCAATGTATACTATACAGTAGTTTCCATTTTCTTTCCCATTACCCCTATAAGCCCCTATATAAACCCAAAATACTATATAGTAGTCTGTAGCAGTTCATCAGGATTAAGAGTTCTAGGGGACTGCTGGAGTGGTATCCCTACACAATCCCCCATACTGGTACATTGGTACATATTCATGCCCCTCAATCCCCCTTAAGCACCACTAAGAGAATCATTGTCTAACCTCCTAGTATACCCCTTAATAACCCCTATAATACTCCCATATATATTCCCTTAGAAAACCCCCTTTAGGGAGGGAAGACTATAGCTCAAGTGAACCCCTAGCGACTCGATCAGCGCCGTGCTCAGACAGCTCTCCCAGCTGCAGTGCCTGCGGTTTAGGGTTTAGGGTTTAGGGCTAGGGTTTTGGGTTTAGGTTTTAGAGTTTTGGGTTTTGGGGGACCTACAGACAATGATCTTTATGGCTCGATAAGGATTATGTAGCGATTAAGGGTAACAAAAATTACAAATTTAGTGCAAAGCGTGTTCAAACCTACCCCTGTCATGACGGGCTAATTGCAGGATGGGTTTAAGGTTTAGGGTTTAGGCGCAGCTTTCTTGGTGGTGGTAGGTTACAAAGCGATTGGGCAAAGGATTTTATAAGCTCATGTCGAGAAACGTCCAATTTCGTAGTGGTTCTCGGTGGTTGAACCAAGCCTATGTACTCCTTTTTGGTAGTACCCCGATGACGAAAAACATTCTTCGCAGCATAGCAACCAAACACTATGACCCTGACCCCTAATATAAAGGGACTCTACTGGGAACCCCAATTAGGGAACCTCAAGAATATAGTAGGTACATAATGTTCCCAGTAGAGTCCCTTTATAATATGTGGATGACCAAGAAGGTACCCCCTTTCTTTTGAAAACCCGAAACTTCAAGGCTGCGGTCTCCTTCTACACTTCGAGGTGCTTACGTTGACAGGGTCAGTGGGTGAGAGAAAAAGTGGGATTAGGGTTTAGGGTTTAGGGGTTTAGGGCTTAGGGTTTAGGGCTTAGGGACTGGGGTTTAGGGTTTAGGGTTTAGGGATAGGGAGGGGGAGAGAGAGAGAGAGAGAGAGCACCTGGAACTCCAAAGCCTTAGCGATTCGGATAAAGAGCGGTTAAAGGCCCGGATGCTCTCCAAATCCTATTACTATAGTAGCTTCCAGCTTCTTCTCCATTATCCCGTTATAACCTCAATATACTACAGTAGTTTCCATTTTCTCTTCCATTATCCCAATATAACCCTAATATATACCCTATGCCTATGATTACAGTAGTTTCCATGTTCTGTTCCATTATCCCTAAACCCTAAACCCTAAACGAAAAGGGCCAAGGCTGGGCCCAGCCTTGGCCTCAATTCTCAAGGCTTCAGGATTGTGAAGCTCAGGGCTGAGAACGTCCAAGGCTCGAATAAACTGTTGGTTATACAGGGATAATGGAAAAGAAAATGGAAACTACTCTAATGGCGTTATATAGGTATGGGGTTTAGGGTCTAGTGTTTAGGGTTTAGGGTTGGGGTAGTGTAGGGATAATGGACAAGAGAATGGAAGCTACCGTAGTATATTGGGCTCATATAGGGCTAATGGAAAGGAAAATGGAAGCTACTGTAGTATATTGGGGCTATATAGGGATTATGGAAAGGAAAATGGAAACTACTACAGCAATAGGATTTGGAGAACTTTCTGGATTTCATCACATCCCTGAGCCCTAAACCCTAAACCCAATTATACTATGGTAGTTTCCATTCTCTTTTCCATTATCCCTGAAAACCCTACATACCCCATTATAATAGTTTCCATTTTCTTTTCCATTGTCCCTATATATAACCCTATATAACCCCTATAAAACACTCTGCACCCATGGGCCTCTTGAACGGAGGTCTTGATCTCGGCGGTGCTCTCCCGCCTCAGAACACAAAAGACAACACCAGCGAGAATTGTCGAGAACATGCCAGTGACGCGTCGTGAAACACAGAGAGAACACTAGCAGAATCACGCCAGCAGGGGCTCTGCATGGAAATGCTGCTGGCTGTGAGGCTTGTGTGAGAAATTGATCTAGCAAGGAGTCCTGCTATGGAGTCCTGTAAGGCAAGCCCACTGCACTGGATAAGAACACGTTTTCAAAAGTTGGGCCCCTTTATTATCCAAAAAACAATGACGCTTCGGCACCCAAAACGGAAACCACGATAAACAATGAAAGCCCATTCCCATCGTAACACCGCCCCATGTAAACCTTTTTTAAACACGCCGCCCTTGCTTCGCACTCCAGTGTGGCTTCCGGCCACGGTTCTGCACCCACTTTCAAGACTCTCAAGACATTCACGAGGTGTTGGACTGCCGGCGCCACTGTCTGCTGGCAAGCCTTCCGGAGCAAACACAGTCTCCCGGCAGTCTTCCATCAAGGAGACCTCACTTTCAGTGAGGCCCCCGTAGGACAGCTGCTGCGTGCCTTCTTCCAGCGACCTGCCTGCAGTCTTTCCTCAGCAGAACTTGCCACGCGAGAATGCGTCTGACCTGTGGCTCTGCCAGCGCTCAACGGGATCTCTGCATGGGTATGGACGTCGTCACTTGCAATCCTGCGCCACGTTTCGGTGGCCGCTGAAGGTTCTCTGCCAGGATGCTGCAAGTCCATTCCATGAGCTCAACTTCTGCCACGTTCAAGCTATCTCTGCGCATGTGATTGCCCACGCCACTGTCTGCTTACACGACTTCTGATGATGAGACGATCTTCCAGCAGTTTTCCATCAAGCAGACCTCACTTTCAGTGAGGTCCCCCTTGGACAGCTGCTGGGTTGCCGTCATCCAACGATGTGCCTGCCGCCTCTCCTCGGCAGAGCTTGCTTTACCCAAATGCGGCTTCCGCCTGTGCACATGGATCCAGGCCCGAAGGCCTGCCAGACAGGCACGCGGTCTCTCCGAAAGCTCGTGCCTCCAATTCTGGCAGTTCCGCATCAGCTCCATCTCAGCCGTGGTCAGCTTACCTTGTGACAAGAGCTGGTTCGCGTTCTTCCACCTCCAGTTCTGGGTTCGCGCGTCAGCTTCTTCAGCATGCAGGGAGGGAAGGCGCTCAAAAAAGCGAATCCATGCAACCATGCTGGCTAGCCACGGCCGCACCGTGAACTGCAGCGCTTTCTCCAGTAGCTGGGCATCTCGGCTGACCAGCCTACCCTTCTTAAGTCGTGCCAAGGCTCTGGATAGCCTGCAACTCTGCCGGCGCTCAATGGGATCTCTGCTCAGCTGGTATGGACGTCGCCCGTGTGTGCAAATCCACTCACACAAATCCAGCAGAAGATCTCTCGCACGCCGCTGACGGTTCTCTGCCAGGATGCTGCAAGTCCGTTCCATGAGCTCAACCTCTGCCACGTTCAAGCTATCTCTGTGCATCCACATGCGAGCCCGTTTCCACCTGCTAAGCATGGTCTTCTCTCGTGTTGAACTACAATGTGGCCTTCGGCCATGTCTCTGCATCCACTTGCAGAGACTCTCGAGCCATTCACGGGGTCTTGGGTTCCAGGAACCTGTGCTGCCATCTGCATGTAGCACTTGCCATGAATCTGGTGGCTTTCCAGTCCCGCTGAGTGCTCCAAGGATGCGCGAGGCGTGCTGCACTCGCGTAAACTGAAGCTCGGGCTTAGGTGTTGTTATCATGCAAACAAGCTTCAATGCCTCGAAGTCGGCATGGTGAGGCTGCAGCGCACAAATTATCGCTTCTCTACAAGATGGTTTGACTGGCATTCTCCCCGCTAGGACTATTGTGTTGAAGGAAGGCAGGTCAGACCGCTCGAATCTCCAGTGCGAGATGCACAGGACTTTCACGTGGCCTTCTCGCACGTCCTGCAGAACCTGCTGGCCTCGGAGCCTTTTGGAGACTGCCGCTGCTGCCACTCCCAGGCGCTGGAGCTCCTCTGCCAGGGCCTCTGCGTCCCGGGGCTTGTTGAGGACCACCAACACCGGTGCCCAGGCAGCATTGACCTGCCGCAAATACTACATGAGCCCAGCAAGCGTCATAACTGTATTCAACTACAGGAAACTGTTCCCGTGGCATGCATCAAGCCCTTGTAATAATACCTGCAATCAAACAATCTCATGTGACTGAGTGGAAGGTTGCCGAACACATGTTTCAAGCTCGTGCAGGGATCCCCGTGATATAACGGGAACTCAAGCATAGGAACCCGCATTATTCCGTCGTAGAGAAAGTACCCGGATCTAGTGGATTTGATTTCTGCATGGGACCTGTATAGCAGAGAGCGTCTTCAAGAGCTGTGTGCCCAAACAGGGTGTTCTGTCTGCAAGCAAAACATATGGGTCTAAGCTGCGCACACGTCCGTCCCGCACTGCTTCCGCGAGGGGGTAAGCACAGTCAGCTTCGTTACTCTGGAAGTGCAGCGAGAATTCTGCGCTCATACTGGCTTTGACATGGGAATTAATGAGGTTCCTCACCAGACCATGTCGCCAGAACTCAGCCGAATGCACTAGCTTCACTGCGAAGTGCTGCCCAGCGAGATGGCGTGCACTAGCATACACACAAACCACGACAGCGGCAGATGGATCACTCCTGGATGAACCATCACCGATCAAATGCGTTTGCAGCTGCAGTAGCCTTAACTCACGACATATTCGTCTCGCATCCGCAATCCTCGGCGCGAAAACGACACACCGGCTGTTTGGACGGCTTTGCAAAACACGTCGGACAATCATGCCATAAATCAGGAACGTCAGAGCTGTAGAGGCAACTTGGAATCGCATCGGACTGCCCTGCGCATTGATTCGAGAGATGTCTTCAAAAAAGTTCTCCACCATCTCTCTGGCTTGTCGATCTCTGACCACCGACCTGCCTTCGGCAGGCGTCCTTACAATGGAATGCCCCAGTTCGTGACTTGGCACCCGCTGCACACGCGAGCGCACAGGCACCAGGGCGGGTGTCAGACTGCATGGCTGCCTGAGAGGTGTGCCTGATATGTACAACAGCTGGGGAGGGCCCGATGTATACAATGGCCCTCCCACAGCACATGCGAATCCGACTCCCAACTTAAACCACATGGCTGCGAAGCATACGAGATGTTTCCGGCTTGTTTGTCAAGACATCGCCAAATCAGCGTAGCACTGGCCACACGAGGCTTCAAAGGCAGCCTTAGCCTGGTCTGACGGTACCTACCTTCAGTCCCCTCCGGCACCACTAAGGAAGTGTGTGGGCACCGCACGATTCAGTGGCCAGCGTCTCCACGCTTCTGATTCGCTCTTCTGCCCAGGCTTCCAAGTCCTGTAGGGGACCCAGGTTAGGGGTTGGGGTGATTGGATTCTGTGCGCAGGGTTGAGAGTTTAGGGTTTGGGGCTTAGGGTTCAGAAGTGAGGGAGTGAGGGATTTGGCTCAATGATCAGGGTTGGATTCTAGGGGTTCAGGGGTAAGGAATTTGGGGATTTGGGGTTCAGGCTTGGGGTTGCCAGCATATACAAACAGATGGGCGGGGCTTTCACCAATGATGCCATGTACACACCCTGAACCCTTATCCCTTCATGCTGACCCCCTGCTCAGACTTCTCCCCATGTTCACCCTAACATCTCATGCCCACTGGCTGCAAGACGCAGAATAAGGGTGGCAAGAACCATACTCAGGGTATTCAAAACAGTAGCCACTACACGAAAACTTGTAAACTTGTAAGAACCATTGCAATGGCGAGAGCAAGTCTCTCATGCTGGAGACTTCAGCTGGAACGTGGCCGAGTTTTTAACAGGGAGCGTGGCTGGGTATGTGTACAAAGGGCCGCCACAGAACCTGTCAAGGAATGCTGGAGGCGTTCGACCTTCATGGCATTCTCAGAAATAAGAAATCTCTGTACATTGCCTCAATGCATAATGATCCATGCTATGGGTACCCCGGAAAAAGGAGCCCTAATTTCTGGAAACCCTAAACCCACTGAACCTTGAACCCTAAACCCTAGAGAAAAACTCTGCATTCCTCTCAGCCCAGGGCCTTGTGCCGGCGTGCCGCCTCGGTCCTGTCGTTCAGCCTCTCCTGTAGGACCAAAAACACAATCCATGCTGCCATTCAGGGTTTAGGGCTTTAGGGCTTTTGGGGTTTAGGGTTTAGGGTTTAAGGCTAGGATTAGAAAAAACAGATGTGTATTGGCTAAAGGGATCCATTCCTCCGTTTCTTCCGAACAACCAGTAAGAGATAACCACTATACGGGAACACTTGCCAGATCATGGACGCTGAAAAACTGTTACGGGGTATATGAGCAATAGTCTAAACTCCAATTATCCTCCTTGATAACATAGTACTGCCCTATATCATCGCTTATATAACCCTCCTTGAAGAGTTTAAACTATAGCTCATATACGGGTGTGTAGGGTTTAGAGTTTTGCATGGAAACCTAGGTAGACCTCTCTTCTGTTGCCCTTTCGGAGACTTCCATGCTGATTGGGGGGGAGGGTGCCCTGAACCCAAACTCGAAAACTAAATCACCATTGGGGCAATATTAGGGATATATTGGGGCAAGATTAGGATTATAGTAGGGTGATATTGCGATAATACTAGGGTTATATTGGGGTAATATTAGGGCTATATTGGGTAAAGTGTTGAAGCCTACGTCTTAAACTTCCTTTACCCTGTGGCTAACGTCCAGGATATAAGCTTTCTATGACTACACCTTCACCCCATCATAGCCCGGAACCCACGCTCGGCAGCAATGACCCACCTACTCTGCTCATGGTTAGGACGTAGGGTTCAAGTTTTGGTTCAAGGTGTGGGACTTAGGTTCCAGGATCCAAGATTTAGGGTTCAGGCTTGAGGTGTAGGATTTAGCCCGCAGAGTTTGGGGCGGTTGTCTTCAACTGCTTCAAGCTACATACCCTCAAGTGAACTGCTACAAGCCTGACCCAAATGACAAGGCCGGCAAATTGAGGCTATTGTGATATTCGGTAAAGATTCCTTAATAAACCCTGCACCTTAAATCCGAAATTCCAGAACTTCGCAGATGTTTTGTTCGAAGCCTTTCGCTCTTCCGCCAGCAGGCGAAGGGCCTCAATGCAGCAAGACGTTCGGGATTTCGTGTGCTTTGGGGAAATTCCGTGAGCCATAATCTAAACTCCAATTTAAAACCCCTATAATAGTCCCCTACATAAATATATACACATATATATGCATATCTCCCCTTTATGTAACCTTCTTTAAGGAGTTTACACTCTAGCTCAAGGAGGGTTTCGGGTTTAGGCATCCTGTGCTGAAGGTCAGTATTGAAGATTTGCTTTTGAACTTACATTACGATACGGGGTTGGTACAAGAGCGCAGTCAGTGCCCGATGTGAAGCTGGAGTCTAATTTTCTGTAGCGAGTAGATTTACACATCGAAGTGCTCTGCATTCCAGCAACCTGCTTGCATGCCTGATTTCGTGGAAAGTGAGCAAATGCACGTAAGAAATGCGTTCTCAGCTTGGCAATGTGGGGGGCAGGTACATCGTCAAACGTTGAGTCAGCATGCTCGGGTTTGAGTTAAGGTTGGTTCCAGTTCGCATGCAGCGCTGAGGGAATGTACTTGCGCATGTCAAGCATTATCCTCTCAGCTTGCAGTCCTCGCAAAGAGAATGAAAATGAGTGCGAAGTCGGTGCCTTGCGGCTTGCACTGAAAATCTGATTGCAGGAACACCCCACAGTAATGGTGAAAGCATGACATGAGGTCATCAGGAAACACGGCCTCCGTTCCGACCATGGTGTGATGAAGGCTCCACTCAACTCCGTCGTACTGGGCAGTGCGCTCTGTGCCAGACACTTGCAGCTTCGCCTTGAGGTGAAAGTCATTCAAGCTGCCAACTAGGCGGCTTGGAACTGGCTGACTTGCTGGTCCTCGTAGTCTTGGAGGATGTCGGTGACACTGTGGGCTCTAGGCTCTGCATCAGCTCAATCTGTTCCGACGACTCCATCGACCCGCACGATGCGGCTCTTCCTGCACAGCTGGCACATCCACCTTGGCATCTGCAAGCGAAAGCCTCAGAGCCAGTTCCAGCTCGTCGTCGGATGTGTCATCAGTCGCCTGCTGGGCTGCCTCCGGAAGCTTCCGATCAGCCTCGGCAAGTCTAGCACTCTCTTGGAGGGCCGCTTGCAGCTCCATCTCCTCAAATTCCTCCAGCCCATCCAGATCATGTCGGTCCGCGTCCGGCAGAGCGACGGGTGCAAACGGATTTGTTCCCGGCTGTGCCGGCTGCGCCGACTCACTGCTTTCCTCAACCACCTGCTCTGCGTCCAAGGATTCCAATGAAAATTCCCAGTTCTTCTCTAGCAGAGCCACAGCAACGAAAGCAAGCCGTTGCGCGAACGGTGGCACCAAAACATGAAGGCCGTGCCGTCGCCAATCTGCCTTGGCCTGCTTCTTCCCCTTTTCCTTTCCTTTGGCTGCACCCTTGGCATCTTGCCTGTTCCGGTCCTCATCCACTGTGCCTTCCTGAATCCCTCCTGCGCTTCGGAGAGCCGCATGGTTGCCGAAGGCCCCGAGGTCCACTGCTAGGCCAACAGGACCCAGGTTTACCAGCACGCCCAAGGCCATGGCTGGTCCTTCCAGCACCAGAAGCCGGCCCACACCAAAGTCCTGAACCCTGCGCAGAACTCCCTGCGGGGGCTCTGGAGCTGCCACCAGGCGATGCAGGGCTGACCAGGCGAGCGCGGCCGACGGCACCTCTTCGCGGACCTGGATTGGCGATGCGCTGTACAGGCGCAGGACAAAGGATCCACGGCTTGCACGGAAACTTACAGGCATCACCTTGTAAGTCTTGTCTGCTTCCAAGACCACAGAGCACACTACATCACGTCGGGCTCCGCCAATCGCTGCTTTCACCAAGGTGGGCTCAGCTGAAGTTTCAGACTCCTCGAAAATGAGAAGCGAAATATCATTCAAGTAGTAGCCAGGTGGCCTTTTTAGCTGCTTCCCGCGTTCTGTGGGCTGAATGGCCATCACCCAACATTCCACACCGCACGAAGCTCGGAGCTGCAGCACAGTGCGGGAGCCAGTGCCTGCCGCTGCGAACTCTGCATCGAAGCTGCGGGCGTGCCACCCATCCCTTGCATAGCAGATGTCGGCGACCGCGAAGCCTTTGATGAAATCCCCATAGTTCATCCAGAAGCTGCCCTCATCGGGCACCACTGCTGCCCCAAGCTGTGCCAGGAGCTCATCTTGTTCACGGCGCGTCCACTCGCCCCAAGGATTGCGCACCTTGACGCGGCGCTCCTCGAACAGCCCCAGAGCCACAGGAGTCGAGTCCGTCTCCAGCACTGAGTAGGCATGCTGCCCCACCAGCCCCAGCTCCTCAAGTGTCTCGGCACCCGTGCCGCATCCTATGGGGCACCCAGCCTGCAGCAAAGAAACCAGCCGTGCCCAAAAGAGCTCTGGGTCAAAGCTTGGGTCACGGAACTGCACCACCTCTGTGGGTGCCCCAGTAAGTTCCAGCAACGCCTCAGAGGTCTCGCCGCCACTGATGAAGCGGTAAGCTCCATGTGCCTTGGCATACGCCTTCTCGATTAAAGACACCCACAGCTGTCGCCTGGCACATCGGCCAAACGCCAGGCCACTGCCATCAGCCGTTGGGCGCCGCTGCTTGGTGGTTGTCGGAAGATAGTCATCCACCAAAAGGGACGTCCAGCGGCCATCCAGAAAAAGTCGCACTTCATGACATCCACTCTCTGCACCTGCATTCATGTTGGGCAGCAGCTTACACATCAAGTCGTGTCTCTCAGCCACCACTGCCAGCGCGCTCATGAACCAACAGTCACCTACGCCACCCTGTTGAACATCAGCAGGCCGGAAGCCCTCGTCCCTCACCACTGTCCACCCGCTGCCATAAGCAGGGAAGCGCTTCCACTGCAGCTCCAGGGCAGCCAAAGTCGAATTCTGGTCTGCAAACTCGAAGAAGCGGCAGGAACGGAACGGGCATGCGTAGTAGGGCCTGCAGCATCCAGCCCCACAACTTCTTAGGCCTTAACCTTCAACCCAAGCCCTCCCAACCACTGGAGCAAGATGCCGAGAACTGCCTGGTACGCTCAGACGTTCAATTGCGAAAAAAAACTGCCCTGAATTTAACTCCCCAACTTTCACAACTGTACCTCCCAAACGTGGACTTTCACAACTTTCACACCTCCCATAGGTGGGCCCCTTCTTCTGGACTCTCCTCAGCTGCGCAGGCTGACCGCAGCGGCAGAGCAGACCCTCCTCGCTGGCAGATGGCACCAGGCCCTTGTGACTCACCTTGACGAGTCTCAATAGGTTATATAGGGACATTATCCTCTGTAATGGAAAAGGAAATAGCAACTACTATTTAGGTTTAGAGTTTAGGGAGATTATCTCACTATAATGGAAAATCGAATGGAAAAGAAAATGGAATGGAAACTGGGGCTTAGGGTGTATATATTGGGGTTAAATAGGGATAATGGAAAAGAAAATGGAAACTACTTTATTAAAATATGTATATATACTGGGGTCTCACAAAAAAGAGCCGACCCTGTGCAAAAGGGAAAAGAAGAAGGCACATACTTTTTCCAACAAAATGAGGGAACCCTAGAGGACCCCTGCATCCGTATATAACCCCAATATAAACCCCCTTAACCCTAGTTTCCATTTCATTTTCCATGTTCTTTTCCATTTGATTCTCCATTATAGGGGGATAATATCCCCATATAGACTATTAACCCCTATATAACCCATTATAGTAGTTTCCATTTTATTTTCCATTACCCCAATATAACCCCAAGAATATACCCTATGATACTATAGTAGATTATAGTAGCTTCCATTTTGTTTTCCATTATCCCTATGAATAGCCCCAGTATATACCCTATGATACTATAAGTCTAAAAGGTGAAGGCCATGGTAAGATTTCAAAAATCCTCTGCCTCCGACAGCGTCGCTCGGAAGACATCTGCACCCACACGGTCCTGGGTCAGGGCCCCTGCTTGAGCACCTGAAAGCATACAATGCCAAAATGTGCTTCGAGAACCCCGGGCATCAAGCCTATGGCAATGAAACCCCTCAGCCACGTCGTTCACGTTGGTCCTCGCTTTTGCCGTCCACTGCCCGAGGGCCTGCAGGAAACTCAGAGTCGTGGTAGGCCTGCGTGCTCCTTGCCGCGACCATCTGCTGCCACACCTGGGGAATACCATGTATGCAAATACTTGCTGCTGGTTAGCAGTGAATGAGTGAATGTATGAATGGATGGGTGGATGGATGAATGAATAAATGAATGGATGAAGCCATGACTGATGAGAAAGAAAATGGATCAGGAGTATATGGGCGCTACTTTAGGGTTTTAGCAGATTGGGGTGTTGGCATGGAGCTCAGAATCCTGTAGCCGCCAAATCTGTCGCTCTGAATCGCGGTTCTGAAGTTTGTTGGTACCGAGCAAGCTACGCGCCCTTGGACCTGCCTCACAGGTCAATGGCTTTATGTTGCTTTGTTCACGTGGTGCTGGGATATACATGGGTCAAATGAGTCATAGGAACTGAGACGAGCTTTGCCAAATAAGTCTTACAATGTTGGTCCGACTGGTAGTCTCGCCTAGTTCAGAACTCAAGCCTTGCAAACAAGGTCTTCTGCAAAGTCTGGCCTTAACCTTACCCTCAACCCGTAAATCATGCAGAGCGTACAGAAGCGTTGCGCAGATGGCAGTTGATCTACTCGCACGTGACTGCCCCAAAGCAAAAGAAACTCTATCTGCAGGGTTCCTGCACGACTAGAAAGGAATCCTGCCACGCAGACTGCGGTTTCCAGCGTTCTGATAACTGTTCAAAGCAACAATGTGCCCCAAGGTAGCATGTCTTCATGACACTTGGAAATTGTAGAAAAACCAATTCCTGTAGAAAAACCAATTCCTGCTTCTCCAGTTCACCCCTTACAAATCAATCATGAACAATGCCTGAAGGCACTTGTTATTGCCCAACCTGCATGATAACAAAAAAAAATGCCTCTTGTTATGAGGCATGCCGCGATGGGCTGATGTTATACGAGGAGTTACCGAAATCCACCCCTTCATCCATTGTACGCCAGAAGCCCCTCCATTCTAAACCGCGTTCCGCCCACCTGGTGCTTCTCCCGCAGGCGCAGATTCTGCTCTGGCACGTCGTCGTCGCCGGAGACCAGCTGCCAACCATCCCCACTGCCATGCTCCCACGCGCGGCGTGCCATGAATGAACGCAAAAGCAGGGACAGAGATTGAAGCCGTGGAGGTAGGATCTATTGTCTTCATTTGGGATGGTGGTAGTAGGTAGTAAATAGTAGGTAGTAGGTAGCAGGTAGTGGGTAGTAGGTAGTAGGTAGTGAGTAGGTAGTAAGTAGGAAAGGGGTAGTGGCTATATTAGGTAGTGGGTATTAGGTAGCGAGTAGCGGTGGTAGTAGTAGTAGTAGTAGTCGTGGTGGTGGTGGTGGTGGTGGTGGTGGTGGTAGTAGTAATAGTAATAGTGATCATAATAAGAATAATCATAATGGTAATAGTCCTGGTGGTAGTGGTCGTGCTGGAAGTAATGGTAGTGGTAGTAGGACTAGTAACACAAATCGGAGGGGTTGTAGCCAGGGGACAGCTAGCAGTAACAGCAACAGTTGTACGTGCAATAACAAATTATCATGATGATCATCTTACAGGCGAGCATATGGTGATAGTTGTAGCAACCGTATCATGCTGAAGCGCTTATCTTGATTTTCGACAACCAAGAGCAGGGACCTCAAATTCTCAGCTTTGGGTTCTGAATCCATACAATTGTAAACACATGATGATGATCATGTTTGAGATAAGACTAGTACTATGTTACAGTGCAAAAACCCTCAACAGAAAATGAACGTAGTAGTACGAATGCATAGTCACAGCTACAATATATCGAATGAACAGAGTCATGTGTTAGACTTCCAGGCAACACAGCACAATGCTGCTCGAGCCATACATAGCCCATACAAGCATTGAAAAGCCACACCGGGGAGCGAAAGATGCTCACTCCCCCGCATAATTGCCGCATGAAGGTTTGGGGTTTATGGTCCACGGGGGTTTGGGATCTAGGGTTTAGGGCGTAGGGGCTTCCGCAATCGATTCTTGAAAATTTGGAGCCCCAAGAGAGCCAGTAAACAGGACCATAAAATCGACAACTACCGGTACATCTGGTCAACTACTGACATCTTGTGAAAATGCCTAGCTGCATAAGGCGCCCTACGCCTCAAACAGGCCCCCGGAACCTTGCAGAATCATCATGTGGGCTGCTGCAATCGGTGGGCTGTCTACGAAGCTGTTGCCAGGTGGCAGGCTCTTTGGTGGCTTCAGCATTCGATCCCTTCATTTATTCCAACCCAAAACCCTACCCTTTGGCCCTAAACCCCAAACCTGCAAAAACCTAAATCTAGGCCTCAGAGGTCTCTGGAAACCGGCACAGTAAACCCGTAAGCCCAAGTCTGAATCCCTAAACCCAATTTACAGCACCTGCGCTCTGCATCTGCGACATAAGCGATTTGGCCCACAACTTTAAAAAAAAGGATGCCTCGGAAAGGGAGCCGCGGAGCTCAGCGCCCTCCGCACGCAGCGCAGCAGCCTGCTGCCGAGTTTGGGGCTGGAGGCTGAAGGAAAAGATTGAGAGGGTTTAGGGCCAACTATAGGGTTTAGGGTTTAGGGGTTTAGGGTTTAGGGTTACAAAACAACCCTGCATGAACCTGGCATACTACAGTAACATAATTCCCAAAACTTAGGATACCGGGGGCCATGCAGGATTTCGATTATTAGTTGTACCCTCTTGTGCCGGGCTTCTGGCACAAGGGTTGAAAGTTTCGCATCTTGCATCAAGGATTTGTGGCCCACCCAACCCTCTACTGGCTTTGGGCTTAGAATTACGTTGTAAACTGCATACTGGTATACCAAAGAATATCGCATAACTTTGGCCGGTGGCACAGCTGAACAATTGGCGAAATGAGAATGAACACTGACAGCTTAACACCATAACTAGTGATGGCGCAACTCTCTCGGGCTATCCAGAAGCTTGAGATTTCGGGGGCATATGCTTACAGCCCATCAGTTTGCAGGTAAGCCCCCCTTTATTCCCAAACCCTAAACCCTAAGCCCTAAACCCTAAACCCTAAGCCCTAAACCCCAAACCCCTATGTGCCTTTCTGAGCCATACCCCAAAAGCGGTAAGAGCCTCTTGTAAGATGGCTTCGTCCGCAGTGGCCCTGTTCCTGAGCATCTTGGAAGGCTCCAAGGAGCCTCCAGAGCTTGAAAAATACTAGCCCTAGAGATGGGAACGTTACAGTATATTGGAGTATAGTATGATATAATATGGTATGTTATGGTGAATGAAAATCTATTATGGGAATATGACAGTGTATTATAATAGATTATAGTATATTATGGTAAATTAATGGTACACTATGGTATATCTATCGTAGATTATGGTATATTAGTATATACCAGTATAGTATGCCTTAAAGATTGGAAATCATACTTAGAATATCTTATGCAAGGACTCCCTACGGGGAACATGAAGATGTATCGTTGGCTTCATTAAATGGACTGTAAGGTAGCCCGAGAGGCTGAGATTCCACGTTTGGGAAGGTTGGGGCCTTGCAAGCCTTGAACTGCCGCGTTCAGCTTCGGAAAAAAGCTTGTAGGACTAAATCGGGGTGAGCTGCCTAGCACAACCTGGCCCAAATAGAAGCCTAGAAATCTGAATCTCCAACCCTTAAGGAGAACACCAGAACATCTGAGGATAAACTCCTGCATGTTGTTGTAAGTAGTTGCTCTCACCTAACCAAAACCTAAACGGCGTATATCAGTACCTTCCATCTAAAACCCCACTTGGAAATACACATATTACACATACACATATTATAAACACCTATATTTTAGATCACCCGAAACCCTCAAGCTCAGACCTGATGTGACATTCCCTGGGCGCGCCACGTGCTCTCTGCTTGGACCTCAAAGACAGATGGTGTCTCGAGCACTGAGTTGCTGCCCAAATGCTCCAATCAAGTTACCATAATATGGATTAGTGCTCAAGATTATGGTATACTGCGGATGCTGAGTTACAAAAATTGAGTTCCTTAACAGCAACCTAGTGAAGCTTTGCTGGAGTTGTAGAGTCAGATGGCTGGATGACTCGTTTATGTATACGCACCTTGGGTGCTTACTGCAAAAGATTTGCAGGTTTAGGGTTTAGGGTTTAGGGTTGAATCTGCAACAAAATGCAGCACTTTAGGGTGTCCCCATGACACGGATGATTCGTAGTGCTTTGGGGTTGAAGAAGCGGTGCAGCAAGTGAATGTTACCTTTTTGGGAGGTCCCCATTGTAGCATTTATGGGTCTATATTGGGGTCCCCTCATTTTGGGAAACTACCATATATCTCCAATATTTACGCTATTATAATATAGTAGCTTCCTTTTTATTTTCCATTGTCCCAATATATCCCAATATAGCAACATGCAGAAATACGGCAAAGCTTCGGGCTGCATTGGCTCGAGCGGCACGCTCGTGCAATGAAGCCATCTGCGCACAGAAGCGAAAAGGGTGTGGGAGACACTTGATGGTACTTCGGTTAGCATTTTTCCTTTGATGTTTGCTGGTAATGGTACTCGACAGAAACTCCTTTGCTTCTTACATAAATGATCATTAAGCACAGCAGTCACAAAAATCCTCCAAAGTCATTTGCCTGAGAACCCCTGCATCACGCTGTGTGCCCCCGAAGTACAGTTTCAAATGGTGAGGCAGATGGTGGCAATCAGATACTACAGACCGCCCATAGCCCCTGCAGAGATCATCCTTGCGTTTTCAGGTTTATGTGAAGGGCTGGAATCTTCAGGCTTGCACTACCCTACACTCGATCTGTGCAGACGCAACGTGGCCTCAGTTCGCATAGATGCGAGCCTTGCATCAGCGCAGAACATTTAGGAACCGAAATAACTGCACGGGGTGTGGGGATGGAGTGTAGCATAATCGCACGAGGGTCACGGTGAAGTGTGCTCGGAGACGTTGTGAGGGCTACTGCTTGCTGGAAGAATGTTTCCAGCGAGTGTCAACGCAAAGGACGCAGCATGAGGTTCCTGGCCTGGGGTATCTGTTTGGGCAGGGCCAGCTGGGTGTATTCGGGAATAAAGAGGGAATGGTGAGCCGCACGGATGT